TTCAGTACTGTTGTAACTTTGAACGGTCACTAAATGAATGGTTGTAAGTCAAAGACTACCTGTACGATGTGAAGGAATTAGGGGGCAATGTTTAGAGGGAGCCAAGCATTTCTTAATATTTATTCCCCTCTTAAAGAAGACGGGGGTCAACCGATTGTCCAAATCACCCATTTCCTCCCTCCCTTCTTTACTCTCTCCCTCCAATTCTCCTTTCCTCTCTCTCTCTCTCTCTTTCTTTCCTTTCTTCCTCCCTCTCTCCCTGTCTCTCTTTTCCTTCTCCTTCCTCCCTCCCTCCCTCCCTGTCTCTTTTTCTCCTTTCTTCCTCCCTTCCTCCCTGTCTCTCTTTCCCCTCTCCTTCCTTCCTCCCTCCCTCCCTGCCTCTCTTTTCCTTCTCCTTCCTTCCTTCCTTCCTTCCTCCCTCCCTCCCTCCCTCCCTCCCTCCCTCTCTCTTCCCCTCTCCTCCCTCCCTGTCTCTCCTCCCCTCTTCTTCCTTCCTCCCTGTCTCTTTCCCCTCTCCTTCCTTCCTTCCTTCCTCCCTCCCTCCCTCTCCCTCCCTCTCTCTTTCCCCTCTCCTCCCTGCCTCCCTCCCTGTCTCTCTTCCTCTCTCCTCCCTGTCTCCCTGTCTCTTCCCCTCTCCTTCCTTCCTCCCTCCCTTCCTCCCTGTCTCTCTTTCCCCTCTCCTTCCTTCCTTCCTTCCTTCCTTCCTTCCTTCCCTCCCTCCCTCCCTCCCTCCCTCCCTCTCTCTTTCCCCTCTCCTCCCTCCCTCCCTCTCTTCCCCTCTCCTTCCTTCCTTCCTTCCTTCCCTCCCTCCCTCCCTCCTATTGCTATTCGAACCTGGCTTATTTCTAGCTTTTGACTTAGTCCGACTCCACTTTCATCCTCCTTATTCTTGTTGTCAGTGCTGTTCATTAATATCACTGAAGTCCTCCGTGCTAGATTTTAACTGAGCCTGGGTCAACAGGGTGGTGGGAATCCAGCCAGCATTTTTACAGAACGGAGGCTGCTTCGCCCCTTAAAGTTTGCAGGGGTTTCCTCGTCTGCTGCCAGAAGCTGTCTTCTACTCAATCCTTTATCTCTTGCGTGTCACAGTCCGTCTTTGGCCGTGATCTTCGGTCATTTGCTGGCGTCCAAAGGTCCACCTGCTTCTCCAAAATCTGCCACCTCTTCCTGCGGTGTCCAAGTCCTGGATTTGCCTCCACCTCACACTTCTCGCCCCTCCTCCTCTCCCCTTTTGCAAAATGCCCCATCAGTTTTCTCCCTTAAGAAACAGAAATGCCACTGGGAAAGGGAGCGTAAGAAAAGGATGAACAGAATAGAATCAGAATAAAAAATATGATAGAATAAAAATAAAATAGAATAGGATTCAGAATAGAAGAACAGAATAGACTAGAATTAGAATAAAAATATGATAGAATAAAAATAGAATAGAATAGGATTCAGAATAAAGAACAGAATAGAATTAAAATAAAAAATAGAATAGAATAAAAATAGAATAGAATAGGATTCAGAATAGAAGAATAGAATAGAATAGAGTTAAAATAAAAATAGAATAGAATGGAGTAGAGTGTATATACAGTAAAAATAATAGAAGGGAAGAGAATAGAATAAAAATAGAATAGGATTCAGAATAGAATAGAATAGAATTAGAATAAAATAGAATAGAATAGAATAGAGTAAAAATAGAATGGAATAGAGTAGAGTAGAATAGAATATAGAGTAGCATAAAATAAAATGTATATAAAAAGAAGAGAAGAAAAGAGAATAATATAATAGTTAGAAGGGACCTCGGAGGTCCTCTAGTCCAGCCCTCTGCTTAAGCAGAAGACCCTATACCATTCCAGACAAATGGCTGTCTTCTTAAAACCTCCAGTGATGGAGCACCTACAACTCTTAGTGGCAAGCTGTTCCACTGGTTAATTGTGCTCACTCTTAGGAAATTTCTCCTTAGTTGCAGTTGACTGAAACTCAGATATGAGCCAGCAGTTTGGTGACAGAGCTGCTAAAAACAATACAATTTTAGGTGGCCTCTAAAATCCTCTGAAGTCCACTCAACTGCCAGCATCCTCCATTTTAGGAAATGATTCCGTACTGAATGATTTAAGAAGACTTTTGAACGATCAACCCTGACATCTATTTATTTACGGTTGGCATTTTTTTTAGTTACTCATAAAGTTTTGAGCTCATGGCATTATTATGCTATTCAATAGCAGTTTTAATATTATTCTGTTATGGGTTCATTTGGATTTTTATACTATAGATACAGGTCGTTTTCAATTAACGACAACAATGGAGCCCAAAATTTATGTTGCTAAACAAGGCAGTTGTTAAGAAAGGTTTCCCTCCCGTTTTATGACCTTTCCTGCCACAGTCGTTCAGTGAATCCAGCAGTTATTATTGCATTAGTAACACAGTGGTTAAGCGTCATAAATAAAAGTCAATTCCCCAGCGTCCAAATTTTGATCAGGTCATAAGTCACTTTTAAGTCATTGCAATGGTCATAAGTCACTTTTTTCCAGTGTTGTTGTATCTGTCATGCCCCTGTTGGAGTCTGAATCCCAGGAGGAAGACAAACAGCTGACAGGGAGTGGGAGTGTGGCTCTGTTGGCTGTGGACGAAACTGGGGAAGGGCAAAGTCCAGCTGGGCAGAGCAGGGTAGAGGTAGAACAAGGGAGACGGAGTCCAGAAGAAGAACCAGGCCCACCTCCTCTTCCTCCCAGGGCACGCAGGGAGGAATGGAGAAGGGAGCAATGTGGGTTGCATGGCTTACGGGGGAGGAAAGGGCCCTGACTCCCTTCATTAGCTGCAGCTGGGAACACAGTTTATAAAAAAGGCAAGCTGCATCCGGCAGGCTTTTGGGAGCAAACGTGACTTTATCTTGTATCGTGATGGCTTATCGGTGTTCCTGGCGTCTTCCCAACTGTGTGAGTTTTGCCGTGCTTTCACGTCTGAAATTCCTGCTCCTGCCCTGCCAAACTAATTACTTCAGTTTGGTTTGTTTGGATTTTAAGTTACGGTTTGTGTGTTTTGGACTGAGTTTTCTGCAGTCAAAGGCTGTTCCTGGTAGAGTTTTTCCCAGCCCAAAGGTAACCAGGACATTGGGGGCAAAGTTGGAGCTAATAAAGGGACTCTTATTGCTTATCTGACTGTGTTGCCTTTGTGTCAGCTCATCACAGTATCTTTGAATGATTTATCTCCAGGTCATCACAGTATCTTAGAATGGTCAGTAAATGAACGGTTGCAAATTGAGGACTGCCTGTAATTTTGCAAAAGGACCGCTTGCAAATGATAACCTGGAGAAGGCAGAACAAATAATATTTTAGTTATGTTTCAATATTTTTCATTATTTTATTTTATTTTCCAACAGCACCTGAAGCCTCCTCACGGCATCTGATGCATCAATTTTGGGAGGAACATTCACAGAATTCCTCGCTGGAGGAAATGATGCTGGACTCCAGAGCCCAGGAACTCACTCAAGAAGATACACCTGAGATACTCAGTCTTCTGCCTTTCCTAGAGGGACAGGAAGTGTTAGAATTGGGAGCCGGGATAGGGTGAGTAGTGCAGTGGTCTAGAGTAGGGGTCGCCAACCTTTTGGACCTCAGGGACCACCAAACTCATAATTTTAAATCCCGCGGACCAGAGTCCCTGGGAAAATCCCCCAAAATTCTGCAGGAAAATTCCCCACCCCATTTTCCTATTGATTTGATCGATCGTTCTTTATTTGGGATTGCAGGATACCATCTCCAGCTCCGTTCTCAGGGGAAGAGAGAGAGAGAGAGAGACTTTTGGCTTCATGCAAGGAAAACAGCAGAAGCAGCCGAAGTCTTTCTTTCTCTCCCCCAAACTCTGCCAGAAATGAGTCTTTGCTGGCGCAGCCTCTCGGAGCAGGAGGCCTTGCAGGGTCCCAGAGACTCATTTCTGGCAGAGTTTGGGGGAGAGAAAGAAAGACTTTGGCTGCTTTCCTTGCATGCAGCCAAAAGCAGAAGAAGAAAGAAGTGGAAAGAAGCAGCCTGGTGGCCCGGCCAGGCACACGGGGCAAGTTTCCCCACTCCATCCTTCCCCTCCTCCCCTCACTACTTTGTGTTGTTTGCGATGCAAGCCTTGTGTTCCCACGGGCCATGTGGGCAGCGTAACCTTGTGTTCCTGGTCCCCAGCCCACTGGTTGGCAACCACTGGACTAGTGGTGGTGCTCTCACCTCACAATCAGGAGGCTGTAAGTTCAATCCCAGATAGAGGCAGATATTTTTCTCTCTCAGCACAATGTGAATATAACTGCTGCAAAACAAAAAACTCCGCTCTGGCAACAGGAAAAGCATCCAGCCAGTAAACACTCAGATCCATTCAGTTGCCCAGGCAGGCTCCATCCTAAGGGACTTAGGACTGTTTTTTCACAGTTATAACCAGCATCCCCATGGTCACATGACCAAAATTCAGAGGCTTGGCAACTGGTTCATATTTATGACGGTCATGTGAACCCCACTGGCGACCTTCTAACAAGCAAGAGTCAATGGGAGGCCAGATTCACTTAACAGCCATGTAACTAACTTAAATACCTGCAGTGATTCACTTAACAAATGTTTCACTTAACAACAAGAATGCTGGGCTGAATTGTGGTCGTATGTCAAGAAATACCTGGATAACTCCGGGAAAAAAACGTACATAATATTCCTGCCTCCTATCCATCCAATAAGTGATCGATTCCAAGTTCCAGATCTCATGCAGGGAGGAAGGCAATCTGTACATGCTCACAGGCTACTGTAGACATTTAACCATTTGGCTCAAATCCAGCTCTTTTGTAATGTTGATCATGCCTGCAATTTCTTTCTGCCTGTCTGCAATTTTGACAGATTGGCCTGCCCTGTGCAATAGAGAGAGAGTGTGAGCAATCCATTTCTTTTGGCCTTTGATCAGCTCAAAGTATAGAACATGATCAAATTGATTGCCTTGCGAAACATTTACAAAATGGATTAGAAAATTGTAACCACACTGTTGTTTTTTAAATATATAAAAATACCACTGAAAATACACTCTATAAATGGATGGCTACACATATGACTGCATGAATTGTGCTTACTATAAAATACCCGGGAACTTATATTTATAAATTAAGAACTGCATGAGTGTAAGCTATAAATTTAGCCTATAAACAATTTGTAAAGTGTGAATTAAACAGAAAATGCATAGAAGGTTAAACTCCCTAAAATGAAGAAATGTAAGAAGGTAAGTGATATCAATCTAAATCAATCAACTAGCGGAACAGAAGTTGCCTTCAGAAGTTGTGGGAGCTTCATCCCTGGAAGTTTTCCAGAAGACACTGGACTGCCATCTGTCAGAAACAGTGTAGGGTCTCCTGTTTGGGCAGTGGGTTGGACTAGATGACCTACAAGGTCCCTTCCAACTCTATAAATCTGTAATAGCTAAGCAATCAACCCATGGAAGAGAAGTTGCCTTCAGAAATTGTGGGTGCTTCATCCCTGGAAGTTTTCCAGAAGAGACTGGACTAACATCGGTCAGAAATATTGTAGGGTCTCCTACTTGGGTGGGGGGTTGGACTAGATGACCTACAAGGTCCCTTCCAACTCTGTTCATCTGTAAATCTGTAAAATCTCTTAGCTGATTTTTTTTAAAAAAACCCAAAACCTAACTTTACTTCAGGTTAAAGTAATACAGGCTTACCGAAGTTCATTATTCCTTCCTTCTATCTTTTTCAGCCGATTTACTGGATCGCTGGCTGGATTAGCCCATCATGTGACTGCGGTTGATTTTATGGATAGCTTCTTGAAACGGAATTGGGAAGGAAACGGCCATCGGACCAACATAACGTTTTTACAGGCTGATGTTACCACCTTGGAGTTCCCAAGCCAGAGGTGAAAACACCTTGCACCAAATCTAACTTGGCCAAATCGAAGACTAGCTAGCCATTGCAAAGGTGCTTTTTCAAGACGCCACTGGACTTTCTGTCTCTTGAAAAAGGACCTTTGGGACTACCAGGACATATTGCTTTCAACATTTTTTTCTTATTTTTATCACTACGTGGAATTTCTGGCATAAAATATATGTGTGTCACCCACCCAGCTTTCATGCCTAAGGCAGGATTAGAATTCACCATGTACTCATGATTGGCACAAAGTCACTGGTTTTCATGCCTAAAGTGGGACTAGAACTCACCATCACCTAGTGATTGGCCCAAAGTCACCCACCCAGCTTTCATGTCTAAAGCGGGACTAGAACTCCTGATGATTGGCCCAAAGTCACCTACCTGTTTCACGACTAAGGCGGGACTAGAACTCACCGTCTCCTGGTGATTGGCCCAAAGTTACTGTTGTATTTCAAGGGAAAGAGAGGCTTAGACCAGGGCATGCAATTAACACGTTTATTGAAGGAACAGTGGTTGTCGCGTCTGCCAGCCAAACGGGCAGACTAGCTTGCGAACAACGGCTGGCTCGGTTTGACAGCCGGCTTTTTATAGCCGGCTGTCAAACGACGCCAGCCAATAGGAACGGCTGTTGAACTTGCTTAACGAGTGGACCCGGTTGGAGCCCCAACCGGTTCCCAAGACATAACACCCCTTCCCCCCAGATGAGAACACACATAATCTTTGAGATACGCCGGTGGTCTGTGTTGGCGACCCGAGCGACGTAACTCAGGAGATTCATTTGGCGAAGACGAGTTCGCGGACTCCAGGTCAGGGTACGTAGTGTGGCGACCAGGGCTCGGTGCAGGAACTGGAGCCAGTGAAAAGTCTCTGCCTTCACTGGGGTTAAACGGTGGTGCTCCCGGCTGGCAGTCCCGGTCTACTGCCTGCTCTCTCTGCTCCGTTGGTGAAGGTTGGTCACTCTGGGAACCCCTAGCTGGACCTTGGAGTGGCGCCCGCGGCTCTTCTGGTGGAGACGGGTCTGGGCCGGTCAGGCTGCTCCATCGTCTCCGCAGCTGGTCCAGGTGTCTTCGCCACATACGACCGTCTTCAAGTTGGACCCGATAAGATCTCGGACCCGTGACAGCCACGACTTTTCCGGCCACCCACAGTGGGTCCCCCGCGTAGTTCCTAGCAAACACTAGGTCCTGAACTGCGAAATTCCTGGCCAGACTGTCAGACCCCAAAGGGGTGTCTGGGCAGTAGTGGGGGTGCAGCCTGTCTAAGGCAGTCCTCAGGCGTCTCCCCATCAGCAGCTCAGCCGGGGATTTGTTCGTAACTGTGCACGGTGTGGTATGCTGGCTTAGGAGGAATTGAGACAGTCTAGAATGCCAACCCACTGGGCCGAATCTGGCTAACGCCTCCTTGGCTGATCTGACGGCCCGTTCAGCCAACCCGTTGCTGGCAGGGTGAAAGGGGGCCGTGAGGACGTGTCTGATGCCTAGATTTGTGACATACCTACTAAATTCGTTCGAGGTGAACTGGGGGCCATTATCGGATACCAGTGTGTCAGGGAGTCCGTGAGTTACAAAAAGGTGAGTCAAGGCTTTAACAACTGCCTGTGTGGTGGTCGTGTGAAGTAAGGCCACATCTATCCATTTTGAATAGGCGTCCACGACCACCAAGAAGGTCTTGCCGTGCATTGGCCCGGCCAGGTCGATGTGAAGCCGTGACCACGGGGCATTGGCACTTTCCCACTTTGTGGGTGTGGCGGTTGGCTTGGTAGCAAGTATGGCATTTTTCTACTTGCCTTCGGGGAACAGGAGAGGAAGGATATCTTTGTGGAGATGTGCGCGCTGCCTGGCAGACTCTTGCGAGGTGACCTTTCTTGTGGCAGTTGTGGCAGGTGGCGTTTCGGAACCTGCAAGATGTCCGGGAATGGGAACCTCCACAGGTCAGGCATAACAGAGTTTGTTTTGGACCACTGTTGTTTCTTGGCCTCGCTCCTACCTGCGGCTGTCTCGTTGGTTTGAGGCGATGCACATCGGAGTATTCTGCCGGGTCATCCTCACTTACCGCTTCTTCAGAGTGTACAGAGGAAGTGCTAGGTCTGGGAGTGGTGCCCTGGATCTCAGCTGCGGACTGTGCTGCAAGTTCTGCAGCTAAGGCTTCCTCAACTGCCTGGGGGAGGTTTAGGTCTCTTCTAGCCAGCAAACGCCTCTGGAGTTTTAGATCCCTCACCCCACAGACGAGTTGGTCTAGTAGCATGTCGTCCAAATAGTTCTTGAACTCACATTGTAGAGCTGCTGTCCTCAGGGCTGCCATATATTGGTTTATGGATTCCCCCTCAGCTTGCTTCCTCATCCTAAAAGCGAAGCGCCTAGCAATCTGAGACGGTTTTGGTGAGTAGTGGTTGGATAGTGTTTCCACCAGCTCTGCCCATGGGACATTCCCTATTTCTCGTGGGGCCAGGAGTGCTGTGGCAGTGTCATATACTACAGCCCCACAGTAGCTGAGGAAGTAGGATTTCTTCCTCTGCTCTGAAGCTTCAGCCAGTCCAATAGCATCAATAAAGTGGTTGAAGCGATTTTTATATGAGTCCCACTTTTCCTCATCGGGTTTAAAAGGGGGAAATACTGAATTGACATTCATTTTGGGTCCCTCAGTCTCTTGGTAGACTGGTCTGCCTCACAGGGAGCTCGTTGTCTTGGATTGATGCTGCTTGGGGGCGTGGGCGGCTGTGGCTACAGTGCCCTATTCTCACTCAAGGACTTCGGCTTTTCTGAGGTGTTTGGATTTTAGTGCTCTTTTGCGAGCGTTAGGCGGCTGTGGCTGTGGTGCTGTACTGACAGCGCTTTAAAATTCGAGCCTTTTTTCTTATTATTAATTTTTTTTTTTTTTTTGGCAAGGCGGCTGAGGCGCTCGCAATTTCACTGGGGAGTCTTCACTTAGAGACGGCTTCTGTAATTAGTGCCCTATTGTGATCGAGGCGGCTGAGGCTCTCAGCGCCGTAGCTTGCTCGGGGCTGCAGCTCAGTGACAGCCGTTAGAATTTTTGCGCCTTTTTTTTTCGCGCGCGCGGGCGGCTGCGGCTTCAGCGCCCGACTTTCCCTATCTGTGGTGCTCTAACCCGGTTGATCTAACCTGAGCTTTCACTTTTGCGCTGACAGGCTGCTGAGTCCGATGGCTCGGTAAGCAAACGGCAAGCGGCTGCGGCTTCCGATGACAGGCTCCTGTTCCTTTAGAAAATGCTCCTGGCTAGCCTTCAAATCCCATCCTCGTCGCCAGTGTTGTATTTCAAGGGAAAGAGAGGCTTAGACCAGGGCATGCAATTAACACGTTTATTGAAGGAACAGTGGTTGTCGCGTCTGCCAGCCAAACGGGCAGACTAGCTTGCGAACAACGGCTGGCTCGGTTTGACAGCCGGCTTTTTATAGCCGGCTGTCAAACGACGCCAGCCAATAGGAACGGCTGTTTAACTTGCTTAACGAGTGGACCCGGTTGGAGCCCCAACCGGTTCCCAAGACATAACAGTTACCCATCCAGCTTTCATATCTAAAGCGTGACTAGAACTGACGGTCTCCTGGTGATGGGCCCACAGTCACCCAGCTGGCTTTCATGTCTAAGGCAGGACTAGAACTCATCGTCTCCTGGTTTTAGTCTGGCGCCTTAACCATTAGACCAAACTCCATATCCCAGAAAGCTGATGCTTTCTGACTTCAAATCTACGGAATATGAAGTGCCAATTTAAAATTCTAGCAGGAATCTCCCTTCTTCCAATCATTTATTTGTCCTCCCAATTTTAGCTTCGACCTCATCTTCTCCAACTGGCTGTTCATGTACCTGTCAGATGCTGAGCTGAAGGCCTTAATCCTGAAGATGCTTCTGTGGTTAAAACCGCATGGCCATATTTTCTTCCGGGAATCGTGTTTTTACCAGTCAGGTGAGCCCACCTGAGAAACCAGATCCGAATCCAATTTGGAAACTGAGGCACTGGAATGTCAAGGTTGCATGCGGATTAATTCTCCTCCAATTTTGGGCATATGGACTTCAACTCCCAGAATTCTCAGCGGTGGTCCTACTGCCTGTGGAATTCTGGGAGTTGAAGTTGACACATCTGGTTGTGCCCCAGATTGGGAAACATGGTTACAGATACATTGGCTCTATTAAACACACCTAGAATGTACTTAATTTGGTTTCTGAACCAGCCAAAATGTGAAAACATGAACAAACCAGAGTTAGTTTACTGAGATTAGGATGATGATGGTAACAGGAATAATATAAAAATCAGTCCAGTCGTTCACTAATGTGCTTGCAAAACTGGTTTTGGCATTGGCTTCCATCTGCAAAACACCAGCAGCAGAAAAGCTAATATTAACCATGATTCAAAGCTTACAAAGATGTAAGGGATTACAACCTGGCCAAAGATGGTAAAATGTGTGAATCCCAGTTATTAGGTGACCTGGTGAATCTATTGTGCCCTTTGGAATAATTTTTTAAAAAATTGTCTTCAAAGTGCATAGGTTTATTTATAGACCTGCAATGGCACAATGCAGCCACTAGAGCTAAATGCAGGGGCCAACCTGAGCCAACTTTTCTGCCTTTGCTATGGTAGTTAAGAATTATTTTTCCTGGTGTTTTTGCCTTTTGGGGGGTGGGGGGGGCTGTTTTTTTCTTTTTCTTTTTTTTTAAGAAATAAAAACCGAATGAAGGAGCCACAGCAAAAACCTGAATATGTAAACATTTTCCCACAGGTACAATGGCAAGACTCAAACGCCAGAGGGCAGGATTTAGCAGTCTTTTAAACAGCACCATCACTTCTGGTGCAATGACCAAAAGGAGCCAGCAGAGGGCAGACTGTTCTTTCTGCCCTTTTCTCCTCTTTTAGAATTAAGCCCTTTCCAAGAACTGTAATGGGCAATTTCAACCACCAGAGGGCAGCGTATTTACCATCCTTTCCATAGAATGCTCAGGTGTTGGGGGGGAACACCTGCAATAGCCAACCTGAGCCACCAGGGGGCAGAAGTTTGCAATATACTTCCATAACCATCATATTTGCAAAATACTGTATAACAAGCATAGTTTTGGCTGCATTCACACAACTAATTGCTGTGTTTATTTAACATTGCTTAGGATAGACACATAAACCAATGTATGGCTTTAATGCCTGGTTTTTCCCTTTTTGCAAAGATAATAGCTGGATTTCCTCATCGTGTTGAATCCCAAATAACCCATTTTGAAAATCCATTTGATCCAGGAAGTAATCTTAGAAAAACTCAGAAATATTGCTCTTCTCAGCTCAATGCTTTGAAGGTCTCCAAAATTGTGAGCCATTTTTTTTTCCCCAACAGAAGTTGCAAGGAATTAACCCGGAATAGTTTTTTTTTAATGCAATGTTTGTGCTCCTTTTCCCTAGCATTTCAATCTGTCTCAAAAGTTTCTAGCCCTCATGGTTTCAGAGCAAAGTCTGTTCCCAAGGGGAATAATTTAAAAATTCCAGGTTTTTTTTCCCACACGGCTCAACTGTTGGATAGGAGATTAAAGCCTGAGAATAAAACTTGCAACGCAAGCAAAGCTGAGAATACTGATTTATTATTTGTTTTCAAAGAATTTTTACAAGGTGGCACTTTGATTTCATCATGAGATTGGATGCCTAGTTTGCTTTTTCTCACCATCTGCTGACTTTCACTCCTCCCAATTTATTTTAGGAAACAGCCATAGAAGTTTTAACCCTTCCTTTTACCGAAAGCCGGCAGAATACAATCAACTCCTCACCTCAGCCCAAGTGACAATCGGAAACATGTCTTATGGATTTGAGATTGTTTTATCCCGTTCAGTGCAGACCTACATCAAGGTAACAGCCCTTCCCTTTCTGCTTTCGATACTCTGAGATGGAAAGGGGGCCTCTGAGCATAAGCAGACAGTCTTTCCCCTAGTTCTCTCTCTCT